TAAGATGTAAATAGCCTATAATAATAATCTTCCTCAATGTATAATGAAACAAGAGGTTTACAAATCTGACTAGTGATACATATTAATTGAGCAGTTAAAGTAATTGTGCAATCCTTCAATAATATTGAATATTTATTCAATGATATCTATTAACTGTTGCAATTTTCACTTTTTCCGTATTAGTAGGTATTGCACTTACAACATATCAGAAATGCTTTTTCGTTTTTATTTCTTGTAGTTATCTTAAATTGGACCCAGTTATGCAAAAAACAGCCATGTGCGTAAAAGTAGATACAGAGATATAAGCATTTTATTATAAAAAATAATATAATTATAAAAAATAAACAATACTTATATAAATATTGTTCAATTTTAAAATAACCAGAAAAACAAAACATAACCCAAGTGCAACTATCGACAGAACGATGCTTATAACTCTGTTGGTACTTATACGCACATGGCTGTTTTTTGCATAACTGGGTCCAAATTAACCATGGGTAACCATTTGTCCAAATAGAAAATACTTAGTTCGTCGATTTGTTAGTATATTAGCCTTATAAGTACTGACAACTACCGGCATTTTCCTCAGACTAGACTGATTAAGTAATTCCCGACCGGAAAATCTATAGAGAGATCGTGTTTTGAATTATGCATTTGAATATTTAATTTTCTTTGGAAAATGTATTTATAACTTCCCTATCAAAATGATTATCATAAAATATTTCTTGCAGACAGTAACAAAGAAGTAATTTATTATACTAATGAAATAATCTAAATACAATGTGAATAATGCCTTCAAATATTTATAACTATCATTGCCCGCGGTTCCGCTCGCGTTCAGGTGACCAAAAACCATATTCTTTTTTTTACATATTAGTATACTCTTACATTGCAGTTTTTGTATTTTTTCTCAGAAATGAGACATTTTCCCGCGGTAAAAAGTATTCTATATGCTGACCCGGATAAGCGGCTATCACCATACCAAATTTCATCAAAATGCCTCCAGTGGTTTTTCTGTGATGCGGTAACAGACAGACAAAAATTCTAAAAAAGGTACATTCGGCTTCTGTATCCATAATAATGTTTTTTTCAATAAGATTTTCCAAAAAATATTTAATGTACAGATTCGGCTTAGTTACAATTTTATATTATTATATGTATAGATTTGTAGTTCAAATAAGTATAGGTCAATTTTGACGCTAACATATTAGTAGTAGATAATATTTACACTTGAAAAAATTTAGACATACAAGATAATCTAAACCTTTGTTATCATGTTTTCTTATCGCATATTAAAAAATTGGAAGTAGAGTCGTCCTTAACCCAGATAGGTTACGCTGTTACAGGATGGAAAGTGTTTTGTATTACACTTAAAATGATGTTTGTATCTGGACAAACTTTACACTTTTTCATATAAATGTAGCATGAAAACCTACATCGGGTTTGGAATTGTTATTTAAGAAGTGATACAAAATAAGTGTTATGTTTATACTGATGGTTTTTCATTTTTAACCGACTTCCAATTACAAAAAGGAGGAGGTTCTCTCAATTCGTCGGAATATTTTTTTTTATGTATGTTCACCGATTACTCGAAGACGCCTGAACCGATTTGGAAATATTTTTTTTTGTTTCAAAGGGTATATCTTCCCAGGTGGTCCCATATAAATTTTATCGAAATACTTTCTTCTTACAAATTACCTGCTGCTTATTACGTCTACACTAAAAATGGAAAAATAAAAACCAACTTCCATGCACTAAAATGTAAAAAATAACTAAATGGAGTAAATATGTATTTTACGTATCGAAACATAATATTAGATTTGCTTTGCATCGGCTGGCACCGAATTCGAAAATATCTGATTAGATATCTATTCTAAATGAAAACCTCCATTTAGTTATTTTTTACATTTTAGTGTCTGGAAGTCGGTTTTTATTTTTTGTTAAAAAAAAATTATGACAAAACGCGGACGTGGGCACGATAACCAATACTTCTTTCTACCTACATACGTGTTGTCCTATAATAGATTAAATGTAGAGTGGATGATAGAAACATCTTATACATTTCCTTGATGTTCGAGAACTGCTATAAATACAATAATCAATTCATTAAATCCATAATGTAATCGCAGCCAATAATTAAACATATTTATTTCTTATTATATATTATATCGTATAGATTAATTGCGCCTACTTGTAACATAATTGCTTTGATAAGAAGTTAAGGATTGTCAATTAAATTAACAACACTCAAATGTAAATAAAAGTGTAAATTTCAAGATCCCTGTTTGAACGTCAAGAATAATTAAATAATAATTAAATGTATATTTATACTAATATTATAAAGAGGTAAAGTTTGTGAGTTTGTGGCATTGTAGGGGGTTATCCTGGATCCACTGAACCGATTAAGATGAAATTTGGTAAAAAGATAGTTTGAGAGCCTAGGAAGGACATAGGATACTTTTTATTCCGGAAATCATCCCTTAAAGGGGTTAAAATGGGGATGAAAGTTTGTATGGGGAATCAAGTCAGGGACGAACCCGAGCGAAGCGAGGGTGAGTCGTTAGTTATAGATACGGAGGTCGAATCTATAGTTTTTAGAATTTTTGTCTGTCTTGTCTATCTGTCTGTGACCGCATCACGGAAAAACAACTGGTGGAATTTTTATGAAATTTGGAATAATGATAGCTGGTTATCCGGGTCAACATATAGTACTTTTTACTGAGGGAAAATATTTCATCTCTGAGAAATCTATACTAACCGTTAATTAAAAAGTATCTGGAACGCACCCGAGCGGAGCGAGGGTGAGTCTCTAGTCATAAAATAATTTTAAAACTATTAACAAAATAAAAGCAGTTATTCTGGATATTTTTTTTTGTTAAACGTCTATAAGTATACATACATACATTTCCGGTTAAAAGAGTCGCTGTGTCCCGTTGATAATTATTAAGCATAATTACATGATTATACAAGATCCGTACAAACCTGTTCTTAGAATAAATTATCATTTACTCATAAACGTTATTAAAAATATGTCTAAATCTTAAAAACGAATGGCTTGCCCATAAGGTTTTTGCTCTGAAAAAAGCAACATGATTATTTGAATGGTTATTTTCTTTTTAACGAGTTCTTGCAAATACCTAATTATAAAAGAGATAATGGTTTTATTTATTTTCTTATTATTATTGAAAGCTGTGGTAGACTCTGATTTACGACATCAGCGGTGGCAATCTTCATGTTTATAAATAAAACAATATATACAGTTATTGTTTGTAAGTGTAAATGTATACCTAAAATTCTTTTTTTTTTTAATTTTGGAAAATGCATTTACGCATACCACCTGTAGACATATAGGTGGTTATGTGAGAGTTGGTACTCAACGGCTAGAAAAGCCAGTACTACCCACTTAAACCAAACTAAACCTTAGTCCGACTTAATGAGGTGTCGCAGGAGCGCTTACGCCGCACTCAACTACGACGCCCCGACGGAAGGTCTGCCGAAGCAGACCACCATGGGGTTGCTCCACAGTCCACTCTGCTATCAGAGAAGTACCAGGAGCAACTCGTATGGTACACCGAACCGAAGTTTGCCACCTCCCTGTGCGTTTCTTAGCTTCGCGCCCGGCTGAACTGCCGGACGCTAATGAGCCCCCCCCCCACACCTCCCCTCTCCCCCACACCCCCCACACCAACACGACAAGGTGATCGTACGTTGGGGGTATACCTAAAAACCCTAGCTTTAGACCTTTTAAGGGCAATTGGAATTTAAAAATATAATTTTACGTAGATATTAAATATTACGAAGTTAAAAAAAAAGATCATTGGATAATGTCGTAGTATTATAACCTATGTAAATCTCCTATGGATTATTAAATCAGATTGTACTATTATAGAGAATCGACGCACGCGCATAGACGTCACGTCAACGTAAACAACGCTTCGGCATTTGCCGTTAAGTTACGTATTCATTTGGAGTATTTCCAGTTTGTGCACGCCTTACGACATAACAAGAATAAGTTTTTACACGAACTATTATCAATTATTTCAAAACATTTTTTAGTATATTATATGTTCGAATGTATTGTTCGATGCAAGCAATTACTTATAAGACTTGTAAGGCTTTAAATGCAAAAAAATATTTAATATTCTTGTTGTTCTTCGAAACAAACCTTCGTTTTTAAATTAAAAAATAAATAACAATTTTAATTCAAACTTTGAGTGACTGCTATACCTCGCAAAAAGTAAATACAAATAAAATGCAACCTACTGAGAATCAGCAAGCGCGAGTTCGATTAATTTTAATATAAATATTTAAGTCCATCTCTTCAACCATTGATTTGTGGCTTTGAATACATTGAAATATTTGACCTCCGTTAGGATGTGACCCTTGTGATGAGTGAACGATATGACGTCTTTTAGTTGCTACGCCGTATGAATAGTATCGATAAATCTAGATCCACATTACGTTTGTTTGTTGAAAGAGTTCTTTGATAATGTTATCAATGTTGAAAAAATAATTCCTAAATAACTTTCGTTGTAATCTCGTTTCAAATAAGAAAAATGAGATTTTTAAGAGACTGAAGTGTATGAATATATTTAAGAATTTAGTACTGAGAGCAGGAATACTTGTAGCAACCTTATAGATCATTTATCGCTACTCATTACGTAACTGTGACTAACAACAACTAGCAAATTACTTGCACGCTGATCACGAGACTACACCTCTATGCACCGTTGCCAAAAATGTATCAATGACTGAAATATTTATATGTTTAATGGGGTTATGTAACTTGCCTATTAATAACTTGTACTCGAAAAGTCTGGTCAGCTGTCTATAAAATACCTTTGTTTACAAACAAGCATATACCAAATCGCCATTATTCAGTACGTGATATTATTTATATACTGAGTCAATTTTTGTTACTTATTGTGTTACATAAAAATTCTTTTTAGCACAAATACTCATAGTTTTAAATAATTTCAATGAACACATTCTTGTTCCAGATATCGCAATTACCACTGGGGACCAATTAGAATTTTATACAAATCAAACGAAAACAAGCAATGAAGGGATCAGGTTTAGAGATCTCACTGCACTCGCTTATGACGCAGTACACAATATGCTGTTGTTCGTCGACAAACAGAACGACAATGCTTCGATATTTAGCTACAATTTGCTAACTAGGAAATATCAGCCTCTAGTTGGCAGGAAATCTTATGAGAATATTCAAGGTTTAGCTTTTGATCCCGTAAAGGGTAAGATGTTCTGGACAGATACTAATGAAAGAAGCATATATTGGATATCTTTGTGGCCAAGATCTAAAAACAACATTTATGGAAACCTTTTAATGAAGATGGATGATGAGATCCCCAGGGACATAGCCGTTGATAGCTGTAGAGGGTAAGTTTACCAACATTCATACATTTTTTAAAACAAATAAACTCATAAACAAACATATTTAAAAATTAGCGGAATTTTTTAAAACTGGCGTAGTATCAAATACACAGCAAATTTCTCCATCACGATTTTTAGCTGTTATTTTTAGGTTAAGTGCATTCTTTCTATTTTTTGTTATTTTACAGTTACATTTATTGGACTAATACCAACATTACAAAACCAACAATTGAAAGAGCACGCTTTGACGGCAGTGAAAGGAAAATCATTGTCGACACTGATATCCACATGCCGGTCAGCATTGCGATAGATCAACGTACAAGGCGACTGTACTGGGCCGATGACAAAGAAGGCATACACTACTCAATCGAATCGTCAGATTTAGAGGGGAAAGATAGAAAGAAACTGTTACTTGGAACATATCATCAACCTAATGCTTTAACTGTATCAAAAGATAATATTTATTGGGTAGACTGGGGATTCAAATCAGTATGGAAGCTGTCCAAAAATGATCCTCCTAATACAGAGCCAGAAGAACTTATCGCTTTCTCTAATGAAGTTCCTTTCGGGATTGTGGCAAATTACCAGATAGCTGAACAAACGACTGGTGTGTCCGAATGTAAATCTTTAGCAGAACTGTCTGACAATAGAACTTTAATTAATGATGCGATAAATATACCTAAAGATGTCGGTCTGTTTTGCTTACATGGCGTGAAAACAGGAATGTCAGCGTGCAAGTGTTCGCCGGGCTATGTTGGCGACCGGTGCGAGATATCGGTATGCCAAAATTATTGTTTGAATGGCGACTGTATTGCCACAAATGAAGGTCAACCTAAATGCAAGTGAGTAATATATTATATATTGTACAACGTATTTAAAAAAAATATATGTATACTTTTTGGTAGGATTTCACTTTTGATTATTTAAATATATGATAGCAATTATATTATATGTATGAGTAACTCATAAGAACTCTTTATTTTGTGCACATTTTAGATAGGGAGAAAGATATATTTCTTCTTCTTTCATCCGGTATCTCGCAGATACTTTTATAATGATATCGACTATAAAATGTTATATATAGTCGAACCTGGATAAGCGAGACTTCATGGAACTGCGACCTCTTTTTTGCTTATGGAGTTTTCTCACTAACCCGAGTTTCTAGCTTATAAATGTATAGGAGTGGCCTTTCTCATTTATAGAGGTTAAAAAAATATGTATTGTATCGGTATTATTTATCATAATTGGACTAGGAATTAACATTAGTTCCTCGAAATTTAAGGAAATGAAAATAATATTAGTTCCACGAAATTTAAGCCATTAATAGTAGGTGTTAAATTTACTCGACTGTCGCTTATAAGAGCTACAGGCAAGTAGCAGTCTCTGTTATAGAGGTCCACGAAATAAAAACTACTATCTCTTATAGAGGTTTTTGTTTCTCTGTTATAGAGATTTTAGAGAGATAAAATGATGTGTCCTGGCAATTACTCTCACTTACAGAGTTTTCTCGCTTTAACCCAGTTCTCACTCACTCAGGTTTGACTGTATAGCTTTTATCTCCTATCACGTGTGAATTGTGCCTTAATTCTAAAAAAAATTAGAGAAAGTAATGAACTATCTATGTCTAGACTTATCGAGATAATTTGTTCGTAAAAATATCACATACATATTTTTTTGCCATTTATTAGTAAGGAATTTTAATATATTAAAAGTTCAAATTTATTGTAGATGTAAGCAAAGTTTTACCGGCACTAGATGTGAAACGAATATTTGCTACGGCCGTTGTTTGAACGATGGCGAGTGTTTGATAAAAGATGACAAGCCCGTGTGTAAATGTACTAACAACTTTGAAGGCGAGCGATGTGAAAATAGGAAAGTGGAAGAAGTTTTGCCAGTACCAACCATCGAGCAATGCAAGTGAGTATATCTTTACTAGTTACTTGTGACTAGATTCTAATCTTTTCTTATAAAAATGTATTTTTATCGAAAAAGATATGATAAAACTTGCGTTTTTTCAGAACTAGATAAAGATAAACTTAAAAAATCAAATCTTATCTAAATACAAAATTTGATCAAAATCGTTAGAGATGTTTCCGAGATATACATATATAGATTTATATATAAATATATATACATACAAGAATTACTAATTTAATATAATAAGATTTATTATAGCCGTTAGTTTTTATGCATATTTCAAAAATGAGAAAGTACCTAACATCCTCTTTTTTGAAGTCAAGTTTAACATTAAAGAAATTTTGTTACGTTTGCATAAAAAGCGTTTGAATTAAAATTAATTACGTTAGTCGGATCTACGTGGGAGAGAATTTCGTTCCATTATGGGAATTGAAGCTTGAATCAATTCATTTAAATACTCGACTGTTCCACTCTAACAAACAGAAACTCGATTATTTTATCATATCTAAGAAATCCTAAATATACCCAGTTTAAAAATAAAAAGGCTTAGAAAACACGCTATTGACGAATTGAAATGTATGGGACTCGTCCATAGAGTATATTGCTACATATATAAAGACTCGTCAAAACGTATCATATGAGCTCAAACTTGAGAGGGTTTACTGCTGTCAGTGAGTTCACTATCCACCTCCTAGTTTCATTATCAAATCACGTCCAAGATATCAAATTATAGTATAATCGAGTTCAACCAAACTACATATTATACATATGTACATAGAATATAGAATATATCTTTATTGACACAATTGTATGTTGTTACATAAGCCTGATGAAGCCTCTGACTCCCTATTTAAAAGCGACAAAGGCCACATAGAAACCAATAAATAATGGTTTCTATGTGGTTTTTGTCGCTTTTGATGAGATCCTATTGGAGTTTTTCAATAGGGCTCCCAAACTAGATTAAACGTGTATGTCAGGAGTCAGTCATCAGTCAGTCTGTCAGTCAGTCAGTCAACATAAAAAGTTTCCTTTTAATACGATAGCTAATATTAGATTTAAGTTAACTTTTTCAAGATTTCATTATATTGTAATAATGTATATGCGTTAAAAAAGAATATAATAAATGTATTCCTTTTTTCAGTTGCACCAAAGAAAATACATCGAGAAGTTTATTACAAGACACTAGTGATGTAACATACGTAGATGGCAATTGTTATACGGGATGGGATTCAGTTAGGGATCCCATTTTAATGTTTTTGGGTGTTTTATGTGGGATACTTTGCCTTATATGTGCTATGCTCATCACTAAAATATTATATTTGAAGCGAAGGCCAAGGTCAGTATATATTTTTAATCTGTTTAATAATATTATACTATGCATGAGTGTGGGTGTGTGTGTGAGAGTGTAATCGTTTGTGTGTGTGCTGCGTATGTGTTTCTGTTATTAAAACTATTAGTTTTTTTTTAACAATAAAAATAATTTTATTAAATCAGTATATAGAATATAATAGAATTAATTGTTATAGAAATTTTTAAAACACGTAATAATGCAAACTAGCGGATATTACTATTTTTTTTATTATTTTTTTTTTCCACGATTGTTTTCTTTAATAATGATAACCTATATAACTCTTATAAGTTTTATTAAAAAAAGATAGAATAATAATGTTGCCCTATTAACACTCCACTTCTGGGCGCGGGTCTCCTTTCAATGCGAGGGGGATCAGGCCATAGTCCACCACGCTGGCCAAGTGCGGGCGGACTGAGCATGTCTTTCGAAAATTTACTAAATACTTACGATGTTATCCTTCAATATACGACAAGTGCTAATCATTTTAAAAATGATTCGCACATGAAAATCTCAGACGTGCGAGACCCGGGATTTAAACCCGTTTCACTTGATTTTGAGCGAGCGCGTTACCACTGAGTTTGAGGGGAAAGGTGCTAAAAAAATATCAATCAATCTAAACGAAATATACAATTATTACTTTTTACAGTTAATTAATTAGAAATTATGAAACTATTACAATTCAATTAAAGCTTGAGAAAAAACTACTGTTTCGTGGCCCAGTTAATTTACTTTAGAATTGGAGACGTCCCAATTCGTTATCAGGGAAAAATATTTTCATTTTCCTTTTTGGTTGTATTAATGTACGAAATTATATAAATTAATATATGTAATGTATGAAAAAATTATGTATGAAATATATTTAATTTGTAAATGAACAATAAGGTATTATAAAGTTTTTGTAATGTATTTCTTTAGTAGCTATATAGCTGACGGATATTATTAATTAATAAAAAAAATATATATCTTAATTAATATTATTGTTATGCAAATAGAAGGTTTTGCATGACGTCTGAAACAATACAATATCCTACACATTATAGATGGCTAGTAATATTTTTAGTATAATTACATTTAGTATAGAATAGCATTGCCCGCGGCTCCGCCCGCGTTCAGATGACCAAAAACCAAAATTCATAGGTTTTACATATTAGCACCTATACTCTTACATCGTAGTTTTTGTATTTTTTCTCAGAAATGAGATATTTTCCCGCGATAAAAAGTATCCTATATGTTGACCTGGATAACCAGCTATCACCATACCAAATTTCATCAAAATCCCTCCAGTGGTTTTTCTGTGATGCGGTAACAGACAGACAGAAAATTTTAAAAACTATAGATTCGGACTCTGTATCAATGATAATGTTTATTTCAATAAGATTTTCCAAAAAAATATTTAATGTACAGATTCAGCTTAGTTACAATTTTATTATATGTATAGATGTAATCTGTAGCGTTAACTTTTTTAGGGTTCTTAATTATATATTTGTATTTATTTATTTTATATTTATTTTGTTTGTAGTCTAATTTTATGGAAAAGTATTCCGAATTAAAGATTATTATATATGTATATTAAGTTATTCCACTAAATAATACTTCCAACTGAACTAACTTGCAGTTAATAATCGCGTACATTACAATATTCTATACTGATATTGTAGCGCTGAAGAGTTTTTTTTTTTGTTAAAAAACTAGGTTTTTAAGTTAACTTCAGTCCAAAAAAATCTTTTCAAACGGGTTTACAATAATTTATGACCTATTTATCTAGTACTAGCGACTCACCGTCGCTTCGCTCGGGTTCGTCCCTAGGTTGATTCCCCGTACAAACTTTCAAGCCTATTTTACCCCCTTAAAGGGTGATTTCCGAAATAAAAAATAAATATACATCCTATGCACTACACTATCCATTCCACGGTCTTAAACTATCTTACCAAATTTCATTTAAATCGGTTCAGTAGATCCAGAGATTACCCCCTAAAACCTCACAAACTCACAAACTTTACCTCTAGCTATTAATATAGATTATTATATAATTATATATTTATGTAATAAGTTTATTATGTATAAGATATGTATTATCTCACTATGACCCTTAAAAACCACACGAGTGGAGTCGCGGGCAAAAGTTATGTTAAGTTATGAGAATTATAAAGTATTTTAGATTTTTGGGACTACTTATCCCAATTTTGTTTAGGAATGACATTTAACTTTTGTTTTATAGGATAAAGAAGAGGATAATAGTGAACAAAAATGTGACACCGCTTACGGCTCGACCGGACCAATGCGAGATAACTATAGAGAACTGCTGTAACATGAACATCTGTGAAACTGTAAGTTACGTTTCTTATTTAATATAGAATCTAATATGTAAATAAATGCATAAGTGTGCGATTAACTTTATTTATAGATTTTTTTTCTTTTGTAATATACTAACGTATTAATTTTGTGTTATTTTGCTGTTTGATTCAGGCGATATTGCTATTTAACGATTATTACACTTTTCTTGCAAAAATTGAAATAATTTTTAATTTAATTGTCTTAATTGTTTAGAAAACGTAAAATCGCACTGTTTGATATTTGCTAAACAAGAATTTAATCGATTTTTGTGCAAGTCGCTTACTACTTAAGAAGTTACTTATTATTATTGATAATTATATTGTCATATTAAATGATAATATTCATTTGTAATATAATATAAATTACTAGCATTGCCAAATTTTTAGGTTTTACATATTAGTATACTCTTACCCTGCAGTTTTTGTATTTTTTCTCAGAAATGAGACATTTTCCCGCTGTAAAAAGTATCCTATGTGTTGACCCAGATAACCAACTACCACCATACCAAATTTCATCAAAATCTCTCCAGTGGTTTTTCTGTGATGCGGTAACAGACAGACAGACAGACAGAGAGACAAAAATTCTAAAAACTATAGATTCGTCCTCTGTATCGATAATAATGTTTATTTCAATAAGATTTTCCAAAAAATATTTAATGTGCAGATTCGGCTTAGTTACAATTAGATATAATTTTATTATATGTGTAGATTACATAAAAATATGTACATAAATGTGTATTAAGCGCTGTTGATTTGGAGTATCGTATGGTAAATTTAAACAATTCTGATACATTAAACGTATCAAACTACAAATATCACCGTTTCAGTATATATTTATTATTTAACCTTTTAAGGAAATAAAATTAAATATTTTTATCTATTTATTACGTATTATCAATTATGTAATCTAGGTGAATAAGGTAACTGATAACAACTAACCTTGTTATTTTAAATTGCACGTTTTTCTATATAGATAACGAGCATTGCCCGCGGCTCCACCCGCGTTCAGATGACCAAAAACCAAATTCTTAGGCTTTACATATTATTAGTTATACTCTTACAATGAAGTTTTTGTATTTTTTTATCAGAAATGAGATGTTTTGCCGCGGTAAAAAGTATCCTATATGTTGACCCGGATAACCAGCTATTATCATACCAAATTTCATGAAAATCTGTCCAGTGGTTTTCTCGTAATGCGGTGACAGACAGAAAGACAGACAGACAAAAATTCTAAAAACTATAGATTCGGACTCGGTATCGATAATAATGTCTATTTCAATAAGATTTTCCAAAAAATATTAAATGTACAGATTCGACTTTGTTACAATTTTATTATATGTATAGATTATAAATAAAAACTTTGGGCGTGGTCTAGTTTAAATGAGTTCTAATTAAAAAAAATCATTCACAAGTAAATAATGAATATTCACGTAAATCAGATCAACAGGTCAAGTGCAATTGTCATATTATCGAAGTCGAAAACGAGACCGTTTTCTTTTCCATTATAACTGACCTTAACGAATAGTTATTGTCTTTATACATATTTTTTCAGCTATGAAGTTAGTTAGTTTATTTAATTTCTAGGAAAATAGTGACCTGTAACGTCCTTATACTACTTTGTTGCAATTGTATTGGAATTTTAAAGTGTAAAATATACCTTATATAACTCTACGACCCACAAATAGACATGTTTTCAATAGAAATGTAAAACTTAAAAAAAAAAAATCTGTCTGTTGACATTAGAACGTAAAAAATAACTTAACAGTTATTTTCATTCAATATAGATATATACCTAATTAGATATTTTGAAATATATAGGTATATACATAATTCTATTACTTCGTTTCTAATTAAAAGGAGGACAAACTGACTAATACACTTTCATTTAAGCTATCATGATGATTATTATTATAAATATTTTATATTTGGTTAAGCCGAAATACCAGTTATTACTACGTATTTTCTTCTAACGTAAAAACTTCTGACGTAAAAACCACTAATTAATTTTCGATGGTATTTCCCTGTTCCTTTTATTAACTTACATAAAATAAAAGTATAATTAATTTAAATCGATTTTACTTCTGCTATTACAACACTTTTATAATAATTTTATAATGTTTATCTTAATATCTTTTATCAGCTGTCTGTCTGATGGAGCAGAATTACATTTAAACGGACGATTTTTGCCATAATATGTCATTTTATCTGATATCATTATACGAGTAATATAACCTCTTTATTTATTTTTGTTTAAGGCTTTTGGGAGATAATGATTTTTTATGACGCCATTATTTAACTATGGTTAAAATTGACTGACCATAGATACAATTAAGATATTTAATAAAGCTATATATTTACCTTTTACCTAAAAATGTATTTACGCCGACTTCAAATTCATTTTGATAGCCTTATTTTGTCTTTAGGGGTTTTTTGGTTTTATTCATATTCAATAAAATATCGATTCAAGATATAGCTCTTTCGGAAGTCTGTTAATAAAGAAGTAAGAATATTTATTAGTTATTACTATTAAATCTAACACTTAAAAAAAATTCTTATAGATACTAGAAAATATGTACTCTCTGCTATTTTTAGACATATAGTTTAGTATCGATTCTTTGATAAATTTTTGTCAACATAAAATTTTTTGCACAAACAAAACTTATGTACATTGCACAATTATGGTCTACGTGATAAAGAGAATCTTATTTTTATCAAATTCGGTTTAATTTTTTCACATTGAGAATGTGTTATTACTTGTATGAAGGTCAAAAACGTAATTTCATAATCTTTTACGTGATTATGCTATCATATTTTAGTGCTTAGCGTTCACAGGTACCAGCATATTGCTGCGAATAGCTCTCAATATATATTTTATATTCAAAATCCTTATTAATAATACTTAAATAAGTTTGTTGGTTTGTACTTTTTTTTACGCAGAAACAGAGTTATGGATCGACATGATATTTTTGACTGACTTCAAAAAGGAGGTATTAAGTGTAGACGTATGTGTTATTCGCTTTAATAAGCAAATATACTCGATACCTTAATAGGCACCAATAAAAATCCTGTCCTGAATGTACAGGAATAATTAAATTTATAGTGATTTCAAGTCACTATCTCTGTTTAATCAAAAACAGGCTATTATAGTATAAACTTTATGCGCCTGGTAGGCGAAAAACAGTGAATATTTATAATCTAATATTTATTAAATTAAAATATAAGAATCGTGGTTCTATTTATAAATAGATATAGAAATTTTATTTAATCTATTTATAAATTAGATAACTATAGATATAGCAATCTTTAGAACAGATAAACATTAAACAAAAATTGTATTAATTATTCTATCAAGAAAATTATTATGACAAATGTAGAAATAAACAACTAAAACATAGAATTTTATCAGTAGAGTCCGGCCGAAAATGGATTTTCAACCGAAAACAAAACCTAGCTTCCTTCGGCTTTGGTCTTATTTTCGGCTGAAAACGAAATTGATTTAGACATTAGAAAATATTAATATTTCGTATAATATAGGTAACCTATAGTATAATATAGGACCCCAGGGTACAAAATTTACTGTATAGTGTACATATACAGTGTTTACCGTACAGTCTAGAATAATTCGTGAACTTCACAATTTAAGGTCAACAGTTTTATAACAAATGCATCTAATCTAATTACACTATTTTCCGTTTATTTCCTATAAGTGGAATTCCCCGACAAAAATAACTATTACCTATATTAAGTAAATAACCATAGATCGAATCTGGTCGTAGAAAAGACACGCAAATATATGTTCTATTTTATCCTGCGAATAAATCTTATTATTATATATGTCATCTTATATAATCTTTTATCTATATATAATCTTATTATTAAAACACCAGCCGTAAATTCAGTATCTAAGTAAACTACTGATTGTTCTGTCTATATGTACTTACAAATAAGCAAACAAATACAAACAAATTTTATTTACGACAATCACGAGGGCCTAGTGATATGTAGATGAGATCTTATTTAGTTATTGTTCAGGATTATCACAAAAAATACTTGTAGCACGACTTATCGACCAAAATGTTTTAAATAAAACTATCTTTTCGGATTTTGTCGCGGATTTATTTGGATTTTTGTTTCCCGACGTTTCGAATGCTTTACAGCATCCATGGTCACGGGAGAGTCTCTCCCGTGACCATGGATGCTGTAAAGCATTCGAAACGTCGGGAAACAAAAATCCAAATAAATCCGCGACAAAATCCGAAAAGATAGTTTTATTTAAAATGTCAAATATTCGCGTAAATCTAAGAAAGTATTATGTGGACCAAAATGTTATATTTGTATAGGTATATGCATAACACAGTATTTAGGAAAAATAACGTTCTATACTTTTAGCTAGAATTTCAGTTTTAAATAAAACTATCTTTTCGGATTTTTTCGCGGATTTATTTTGATTTTTGGTTGAGGAACCAAAAATCAAAATAAATCCGCGAAGAAATCCGAAAAGATAGTTTTATTTAAAATGTCAAATATTCGCGGAAATTTAAGAAAGTATTATAGAATTTGAGTTATTATGATATATTATTTTTACATGACACGACAATTTTATCATACGTGGTACTTACTGTTTTTACTTTGGAAAAGTATAAACATGCGCGTGAAAGTATGTCACTCTATATTGCTTGGATTGAAATATATGAATAAAAACACCTTGTCACCGGCTTATGTATAAGTTATAAGTCAAATATTCGCGTAAATCTAAGAAAGTATTATATGTATAAGTTGTTAACCTGCTAGTTATTAACTAGCCCAGTAAATAACTTAACGAGACTTTAAAAAAAAACATCAACATTCTTCTAATGTAAATATTTTTTTATAGTAATATCACGGTAATGTTATAACATAAACATTACCGTGGTAATATTCAGTCTTAACTGCCTCGGTGGTGTAGTGGCTAGCATGTACGGCTGCACACCCGGAGGTCCTGGGTTCGAGTCCCGGGTCGGGCCAAGTTTAGTTATTGAGTCTTTCTGTATAGTAAGTCTCAGTAACAGCCCGAAGTTGGGAAGTTGGCGGTGTTTCACCCCCGTGCCTCGGAGAGCACGTAAAGCCGTCGGTCCTGCGCCTTAACTCTCACCGGTCGTGTCGAGTGGTCGTCCCACCGGAGTATGAGAGTGATAGGAATAGAGAGTGCACTTGTGTCTGCGCGTACACTTGAGCACTATAATATCTCCTGCGCAGTTGGCTAATCTCAATGAGATTGGCCGCCGTAGCCGGAATCGGCTAGGAGAACATCAATATTCAGTCTCAGACACATAGTGCATATTAATATTACTCCTTGAGATATTTATACAATTTTATTACATTGGAATATATTATTAAATAATATGAATTAATTTTCAAATATTTACTAAGAAGAGACAACCTGTAAAAGTTAAAGAAGTTTTGATTTTAGACCCTTCTTGCTTCCGTGATAATATTAAAAAAAAAAACTTGAGATTATATGTGTTCTAACCATCAATGTCATGTTATTAAAGGAACGATAAGTGTGGTTTTATTTTATTACATAAATAAAGCAAACCCTATGCAATAACACCTATATATATTTTTTAAACCAAAAATATTACCTTGATCGTATGCACTAAATTAAGGTAATAAAAAAAGTATCTACAGAGTGGCCCAAAATAACGTTGACAAGCGATTTTTCAAATAATTTTATTAACTTTAAATTTAAATGAAATTATGCTATAAATTATAAAAATACAACTTATTTTTTACAAGAATCCCTTTGTCTTTAAAATAACCTCCTTTAGCGCGAATGCATGGAGTCAAACGCTTGGTATAATTTTCTACAATTTTCCGCACTTCTTCAACAGATATTTTGTCCCACTCCGGTGTAAGAGTAGCCTTCAGGTCATCAACAGTTCTATGAGGCATAGAACAGGTCCTTGCATACCATACCATAAACTGTAATCCATTAGATTCAGATCAGGCGAGTAGGGTGGCCATTCTTTTGAGCTAATGAAATCAGGGAAATTGCTTTTGCACCACTGTTGAACACTTAAAGCTCTGAGAGCTGGAGCAGAGTCTTGTTGAAATATCCATGAATGGTTATCAAAGTGCTGTTGACTCCAAGGAACAACCACAGATTCAAGGATGTCTCGTCGGTAATTTTCTTGGTTAATTTTTATACCATTTTCTACAAAAACAAGGGGAGTTTTGCCAGTGGCGCAAATTGCACCCCAAACGATAATTGATTATGCGTTTTGGCGACGTGGAATGACTGCGGCAGCTCCAAGACGAGTGGAAGACCAGATCCTGTAATTTTGGTGATTATGGGCTTGTTCTATCGAAAACCATTTTTCGTCGGAGAATACGATATTTTTCCAATTCGAAGCAGCGGAGCGTTGTTTAAGCAAACGACATCTCTCAAGGCGAACTTTTTTGTCTTTCTCTGTAAGCAATTGCGCTTTTCTGAGTTTGTATGGTATCAATTGGAGATCATATTTCACTATACGCTGCACGGTAGAGCGACTTATCCCTAAGTCTCGCGACATTTTTCTCAACTTGGTATGTGGATTTCGGACTAATCTTTGTTTGATAATGTGTTGGTTCCTAGCAGTTCGAACAGTCCGCTTGCGTCCTCTCCCAGGACGGTCTTCGATGTTGCCGAGCTCAACATAGCGTTTAATTGCTGAAGAAACTAGCTGACGACTAACACCAAGAATGTTTACTATCTCACACTGCCGTTTTCCACGCTCATACAATGAAATTATGGCTCCACGCTGCTCTGACATAACGTAATAAATATATTTAAAAACTTTTTAGCCAACAAACAATATTAAAACGGCGCCAAAGAATGAAGAAAGAATAATCAAAAACAAAAGAGAACGCAAGGCATTCCATTTTTACAATATTATTTTTTTAATTTTGTCAACGTTTTTTTGGACCACCCTGTAATATGCAATTCACACATGAAATTGTAATAGGTTTAAACTTCTATACACATTTCTATGGAGGCTATACTTTAATTTAATATCTGCAGGTAAATAGGCTTGAGAGAGCTGTCAACGAAGATTGCAACTTACTCGAGCATTAATAACAAGGTTTTATTTTAAGAGAATACGGCTTACAGCATGAATGTCACGCTTCCACTGTACAATCAGCTACCGGAAATATAACCAAAGACAATATATACGGCATACGCACACGATGACTTTTTAACGCGCCGTCAACGCCAAATACCAACGCAAACGCAAGCAATCTATATTTTTTTGCAATTAAGTGTGCGGACACGATGTCTTCATTATACGTGCATCGTCGGTGAGTTTATAAAACGTGTACATATGCCCTAAAGTTTATCAGCGCAGAAGAGGCGCGTTTAAAAGTCACCGTGTGCACAGGCCCTTATCAATTTCAAGAGAAAAAATTCAGATTTCCTAGAATATTCTAGAACATCAAGAACAAATTTTAAACAAGACAGTTGATTAGGTAGCTGAATGTATTTCGCACTATCTAACATGGCGGCATAATGGTAACAAAAGTAGATTAGTAAAAATCTAAACGTGCTAATAATCTAATCTAAAAATGTATCTGTAACTAGGTATTTTTATTCTTAATTGCTATATTTTATATGAATGTATACAATGTTAAATATATATTTAATTTAAGAGCTTAAAAACTTTTTAAATGTTAAAAAATTTGAATATTTACGTTATACTTTTTGCTTGTTACAGCCGTGCTTTGAACCTAGAAACGCGATACGACCGACTCTAATGGACTCCAAGCCCGGGAAAGAAGAGAAGAGAAATCTAATAGCTAATATGGAACAAGATGATATATATTAAAAAAATAAATTTGTACGTACGTACTTATATGGTGATGAGTCCAAAGGTCATTGTGATATTCGATGTAGGGTGACAACCTTTTTGGTATTTCACGTTATTTGGTTTTGTAGGTTATGAAAGAGGGTTTATATTTTTCGATACAACACCACAGTCAAATTTTTTTTTGTAACCATCTAAGGCTAAATGAAATCCAGTTAAATAGATTTAAGACTACCGTCAGGTTGTACAAATATTTCATACATATTTGCTTTTTGTGACATCAACACACGGTGCCTTTTCACGTAGCATTGTTTTGGTGATCGCTTTATATTTTCGTAAGTCGTCTGCTTCGAACACAAATGTGTGGAATATATCATTATTTCCAATTTTACGTTTTGTGCTCAAATAACGTATTTAGTACATTTCGTGTTTAATACTGCCATTTTGAGAATTCTTTTTCCCATCTTGTGTTTTGGTTGTATTTTGTGCCAAATAATTTTGTTGGCCTCATTCTTGACAAAGGTTGTTTTGAAAGTATCATTAGCATTTATATTTAAATAATTTATGAAAATAAATGTAAAATATATTCAGTGACTTAAATTATTTTCAAATTATTTATTATTCGGCAAAACTTTTTTTTTGTTTTTTTTTTTTTATTAAATGTAACATTATAAGTTTTTGTAAAATTTAATACATTACCTACTTATTAGTAGAGAGTATTTAAAATAGAGTCGATTTACATCATTAAAACGTTTATTAGAAAAATGATTGAAGCTCTCAGTTTGTTTAACACCAACAAGCGAAGCGTAAACTGTGCCCTTAGCATTAAAAATATATCAAATTTGATACCATCTTATATGAAATTCGTACTCGTATTTTGAATGTCTCTATATAAATATATTTAAATTCATTCACAAAAAATGCCTAAATAAGCCAAATATTGCTTACTTAATTAACTTTTTTTTCGTACTTAGTTCAGAAATTTTTTCAAATATTTTTTTAGTACTTAATTATTATTTTCTTAATTGTGTAAAACTTATAACGTGAGAAAAATAATAGTACATTTACTTAACTGTTCCTTTATTGTTGTTTTAATTTCATATTACGTAACGCATCTAACAATTGTTTTAAGATTAGACTGAATTGATGGGCTTACTATAGCTTTATATTGATACTGAGAATATTAATATTTTGACATTTTAAATAAAACCACCTTTTCGGTTTTTTTCGCGAATTTATTTTAATTTTTGATTTCCGACGTTTCAAATGCTTTACAGCAATCATAATCATCGAGAGATAGATGGAAACCAAAAATCATAATAAATGTGCAAAAAAAACCGAAAAGATATTTTTATTTGATATATTAAATAAGTAAATCTAAGTATAATACTTTTTTAATTTCAAAAAATTATTTAACATGAAACAATAATATTAAAATTATAATAAGTAAAAATAGAAAATCGCAGTGTCACTACAATATGCACAATAAATAAGTACACTTCTAAAGCAAGGTCCAAAGCGATACTTTGTAGTATAGTGTGTAGTAACTTTATGGAATTTTTTCCATTCGCCTTAAACATTTGCATACATTAATTCATTTATTTCTCACCTGTTAAAAGTTCTATGGAATTATCATACGGTATTTATATAAAAGAGCAATGATTCATATCCTCTTACCTTATCAGAATAGTATAGGCATAGTAGGCTTATTATATACATATATAACTATATATTTTTAACAGGTAAAAGTATTTGCCATTTTGGTTTTTTTAAGTACTTATTATTAGAAAGAAGTTCCTTATCGCACGTCACAAAATATGTGTTATAAGTTTGACTGCTATGTGTGTGTCTGTCTGTGGCACCGTAGCTCTTAAACGAGTAAGCCGATTTGGCTGCGGTTTTTTTATTTGCTGGTTTTCTAGCGGTGGTACTTAGACATGTTTTATCAAAATCGGTTTAACCGTTTTTGTGTCGGGGTTTTTTTTTAAATTTTAATTAACATTTGATTATTCGATAAACTTAAACGTCTATCCACATTGCACAATTTACGTTGCTTAATGTTTATGATGGTAGTACTTGTGACAATTTTCATGACCTAATTTATCAGCCAAGGGCAGATAGCGAGAGGGACTTCGTTCTCACCTCATGATATTTTTATTTTAATCTAAAATCTTGACAGGGCATATTGATTTTATTAATTTAAATGTCTCTAATTAAATAGCACAACAATAAAATATGCAATTCTAAGGTTAGACAATGTCCTTTATTATACAGTGATTCCGATCTAATAAATTATTAAAATATTAATATTATTGTTGCATATAATTTCATTGTAATGTCAATAGCACCAGTAATGGAAAGGTTTAATATAATATAATAATAATTGAAATTAAATAAGTAAATAAATTACTTTAGAATTAGATTTTTAAGTTTTTATAACGTTTTTGTACGCTGCGTTCATTTGATAATAAATCAAAAATTATCAATAACAAAGCTATTTTATAATGATAATTTTAAGAATAATATTTCATCCAAAAGTTTTTTTAAAAAGGTATTTGAAATCATTTTATAAGTATAGTAAGCCTACATTTTTATTTCATTCATATGATGTTTTATAATTTTGATTTTTGTGGAGACATTAGATGTTTAGAATAAGAGTTTACGTTCCTATTGTATGTAAGTACCTCGTAGGACTCTCGCTTGGCTCACAAAGTGATCAAATACAGCTTTTAATTAATCATATCTATGTATAAAAGCTAATATTTAATCATGTTGATTTAAGGCGCCATACTTACGCCATAACATAATTTTTATCTATACGGTGACTTAAAGTCCTTGCTCTGTGTTAGTTAATTCTACAAAGTACTTTTTCTGTTTTGAATTAAAAAGAACTCTTATAAAAATGAAGAGGTCGAAAGCTAGCGTATCAATGGCGCCTTAGATTGTTAATTTTTTACTGTCGATAACTTGCCTTATCTTAGAAAATGTTTATGTACAATAAATAATATGCGTGTTACATGTAATATTATTATTATGTAATAACATTATCAAAGTACGACATTTTATTTGTAATCTGTTTTGTAATATGTTTATTTGATAATTTGACATAAAGCATATACATATTAATTTTAAAAACAATACATTAGCAGAATCTCACAGATCAAAATTTAATAATATATATTTATTTTGGACGTTTTATATAAACACTGTTAACCGTGAGAGGCACTTCGCTTGAACACTTATTCTTGGTACTTAGTAGTTAGATAATTTAGAATTAGTCTAGTAAATTAGTTCGTGGATTGATAATATCCACATCAGAAATGTGATATTATTGAGTCTTTGTATAAGCCTCCGTTAGTGAAAGTTTTTATAAATAAAATAAACTGCTTTGCAAAATCTGTTTTCTTTTTATCCTTTATTGTAAGACCCTAAGATTAAAAACACCTCGTTTTTCTTAACAATGTTACGGTTCAACTGATTTGAGGAAAATCGATAACGGTATGAAAATAGGTGATATCCATACTAATATTATAATTGTGAAAGTGTGTTTGTTTGTTTGTCCTTCTTTCATGTCGAAACGGTGTGACGGATTGGCGTGATTATTTATGTGGAGATAATTGGAGGGCTGGAGAGTGACATAGGCCACTTTTTACCGCGGGAGATTATTTCATTCCCACGGGAAAACACGTTAATATATATATATATATATATATATATATATATATATATATATATATATATATATATATATATATTTATAATATAACCCAAAAAACTATTTATAGTCAACATTACTTGAAACGTGGTATGAAGACTCTTCAATAAAATTTAATAAATACGTGTTCTAGTTTTTTTCGAAATTCATCGTATAAGGGGTTACCCCCTTAGGGGACCCAATAGGGGATTAAAGTTTGTACCTACCTTTCTAGAGGTTTAGTTGTTTGTAGTTTTAGCGCAAGCAAAGCCGCGGGTTCTTCTAGCATAAAATATAGCTTATTACCAAAAAAAGTAAAATCTCATAAAATCTAAACAGCGCCATCTATAATTACAAAATACAAATTCATTTTTTAAGGACTCATTTTATTCAATCGTCAGTAAAATACGATAGTTAAATGAATTGAGAATGTATTATTTTATTTTACTTTATTTTGTAAAGTAAAGGAAAATAAAATAATAAAAATATGCCTTTTTGGTGTCTTTTACGTTACTTTAATAATTCTACAATTCAATTGTCAATAATATTAAAGGAAATGAATTAAAATGAAAGAAATCTTATTTTATTTCATTTATTACATGTTTAATATACCACAATTACGCAAGAACACATTTCATGCAGACTTGTCAGTTACCATTTTACACCAGAAATAGAGATCAGAATAAAGAAATAAGATAGCCACAGCGTGCAAAATACAAAAGTCGAAACCTAAAATATAATTAGCTATTTATAACATTATTTACCGCAATATTTGAGGGCGCAAACGAGAGCGTATCTAAACAGATAAATAAAATTGAAGTGTTTCTTTGTAATTTGAAAATAACAGCTTTTTACTAAATGCATATGAAAATATTATATAAGAAAAAAATAATTTTAGAATTTTTATATCTGTCAGTTTGTTCAGTTAATCTCCGAAACGGCTGTACCAATTTTGACGGGACTGTCACTGGCAGATAGCTGATGTTATAAGGAGTAACTTAGGCGACTTTTATATAAGAAAAAGAATCAGGGATCCACGCAAAAAAATAAAACCCATGAAATTGTGAATAAAATCCGTTTAAGTCGCTAATATACTATACATAATTGGAATGAAAATATATATTTAAGGCTTTATTTTATGTATACAACAATTGTTCACTACTAATACACCATTAGCTATGTACATTTAAGAACACACCGCACAGAAATTCAAGAGGTTTCGTTTCATTTTATCACTAAATGCGCTTTTATTAGTTCACGCTATAAAAACTTAATGAATTTTTAAAAAAGTTTAGAATGAAGATCGTATAGATACGGTATACGTGGAACATTAAGGGCCACTCCACACTAAGTTAACTAGCTCACGGGTCCGATATCGGTCTGGTAAAGTATTGTTTATATAAGAAACAATGAGTGTATTCACACTATGAGTAAAACTCACGTTTCGGTCGAATCACACTCAAGCAACGTTTCTTGTATAGAAAAACTTTACCAGACCGATATCAGCCCGAGAACGGCACCATAGTGTGAAGCGGCCCTAAGGCTTCTACATTTATTGACATGACACGACGGAAGGCAAGTTTATTCTATATCAATTTATTCTAGTAGTATTTATTCTAGTTATTCTATACGCTCCGTCTATCTTATTCTTTTAATCTAAGAACACATATTATGCATTGTTTTAGATGCACAAAATACAAACAAAGTTAACAAAAACATATATATGTTAAACATTGTATAAATAAACATTTTCTTTTAAACATTGGTCATAACTTTCTCACCTATTTTTAGACTAAATAGACAGTAAATAAAAAAAAACACTGCTAAAATATCAATATTAAAATACGTTTTATTCACAAATACGTTAATAATTTCATTGGCTATAAACGTTTAGAGCTGTTCGTTTAGTGCAGTCGAATTAGTAAAAAAAATAAGAATTAAAAAGCCGAATATTTCATATAGTTGAAATCGGGAGTGTGTCTAGTTAGTAATTTTTGAGTGACGCGGACGGTCAAGTCACTGGTTAGTCGGTCATTTCACCATTATATGAGAAAATCATAATATCCGTATTAATATTATAAATGTGAAAGTTTGTGAGTATGGATTTTGTTACTCTTTTACGCCAGAACGGTTGAAAGAATCTGGATGAAATTTAGCACAGAGATAGATTATAGTCTGGAATAACATATAGACTACTTTTTTTCCAGAAAAATATACGGTTCTCAAGGAATAGATTTGTTTTTATTTTAGATTTCTAGAGGCAAACCCCAGCGAAGCAAGGGTGAACCGCTAGTTATGTCATATTTCAATATATGTTTTTTTAGATTAGGTAGTAAACGATTATAATACTCTGCTAGCTGATACAATTGCCTCTGTTTTCATGATCTTTGTGACGTCGGAAAAATAATCACACAAAGCGGGATCGATCGACTGCTAACTTTTAGCTTTATGGGGTTTCCAATTCAAATGTCTAATTTGACTGCACTAGTTATAGTATTATAACATTTCTAAACCAAAAATATTATGTCATATCTCGAAATTATTGAGATCTTAACAGATAATTATTATAAAATCATTGGTAACATATAAACTATTTATTCTACACATTCATAGCATCGAAATTATATTTCCACCTTACACAAGCTTTATAAGCAAAATGTTCAGTAAAGCTATCTTTATTATAACGAAATGAAATGTAAACTCAGGTACAGTCACAGCAAATAATTCTCGATTAAAGAAAAACAAATAGTTACTCATTCGTACTTTATAAATTAAAATGCATTTCCCATTACAATACTAGTAATATTTGGTATATACACAATATAATATATATGTATGTATATTGTATATTTTTATCTATTAATTTAAATCCCTCATAGGAAACTTAAGCGCAGGGGCCGATCTATATAAAGGCTTTTTGGGCTGCAGCCCAGGGCCCCTAAGATATAACAGGCCCCCTGTTGAAAACTGGATAATATTGTGAATTTATAATATGTATAAAAAATTATCTAAAATAAAATTAATGCCATAAAATTGCCATAAGATTGACCTAATAACCTATGAATTTGTAATATAAAAATTTATCTAAAATAAAAAAAAAATGCCATACATAGATGGCCTAATAACACTGATATAAATTATCAGAACAAAACAAAAGCGTTATCTTAATTTCTTCTAATACCATCGATTATTTATTGAAGACAAAATGACATTTAGTTTTATTCTAATTAATTAAACTAATTGTAATTTTTAAACCCACCCACAAGTCCGCCCATAGCACATACACAACATGTAGACATATATAGGGATTTGAACCCGCTACCCTTTCATTATAGACATTAAATAATCTTTGCCACCATCACGTAAAAACTACTGAACATACATGTATGGGACTGTGATTAATCCACGCGGGATCATCTATAGATGGTTTCAAGAAAAAAAATATTTTCTGAATACGATTCACTTTTTCTTTCACTTTCATAAATATTTTTTTCCCGCCAATAGAAAAAAAAGATGTTACAATTTTTTTATGGATTTGTTTTTCTTATTTAAGCTAAATATTTAATTTTTAAGCGAAAAACCTAAATATACATTAAGGTCTCTAAAACAAACATTAACACACAACCAAAACAAATATTTACGTACACCCAACAAAGGGCGAGGACAGCCAATATTTAATAAAGCTACAGTAGAACTAGATACGCTTAAAGCAGCGATGATTAACATTATTGTGCAAATTGCTAATTGGTTGTTAGCATCTGAAACAAAATATAATAAAGTTTGATTATCTTACATACTACAGAGACCATATCGATTATTAGTTACGTAATGGGATCTCATCAGGAACAAAGAAAAATTAGTTTGAATAAATGTCAATATATGGCGATACACTGTCAATTTGAATTAATTTTAATCAAAGAAGAAATAAAACCCCAAAAAGTAAGTAATAATATATAATAAATGTTGTAAGCAAAGGGAAATAAATTATACGTTCTTAAATTAAATACTCGTAATATTTGAAATTTCAATAATGATGAAAACACAGACATTTGGTAATGTATTCATACTGCGTATTCATAGATGGCGCTGTCAATATTTTGAAAGTTAATTTTAATATGTTATGGTTGAATAGTTTTACTAAAATAGCAATTGAAGAATACCATAAATGAACAAAGCGTCTGTACTAACACAGCCTTATAATATATAAAGTGGTTTAAAGTAGGCGGTAAAACAGGGTAAAAACATATAACTGTAACTTGTCACGAGTTGGTCCTATAGCGCTGAAACGGTTTACAAAGTTTATGAAGTTAACTTGGAAATCATTTGTCATATAAACTGGTATTGACAACCCTTATATTTGGAAGCATTCCCGTTTGAATTAATGGGCGATCGCCAACTGTATATTTTTATATTGTGTTATTTATCCCTCCACGACCGCGGACACACCGGCGTTACAGTTAACAATAGATTTCTTAGAAATTTAAATAATTTCTTAGAAATTTACCTGGAGGTGTTAATTAGTATAATATTGTAATTGTGATTTTGTGTCAAATCAAATTTTACTGTGCTACTGATATTATATTGTGTTACCTATTATTTAGCATATCGCTTTGGCAGTTACGTTAATATCCCTAGTACCGTGTAAACTATCATTAAGTACAATGCGTGTGTTAGTTATCATAGTTACCTAATCTCTCAAGATGGATTATTTATCTAATCCCACAAGATGGCGGCCAGCACGATTATTATGTTATGTCATTTAATAGTGTAACAAACAGTTACCGTGGCAACCTAATCCGTCAAGATGGCGGCCAGTTCGATCATGTCACCTGTCGTTTAATAGTGAGTGACAGTCGCCGCGGCGAGCTAGTCGCGCAGCACGGCGGCGAGGTCGAGCAGGCGGCGGCGCGCGGCGCGCATGTGCGCGTGCGCCTCCCACAGCATGTGCACGAGGCGCGCGTCGCCGCGCTCGTCCATGGCCACGTCGTGCGACATCTGCGCCGAAAAGCGGTAGTAGGGCACGCCCAGCGCCGCGCACCACGCGCGCGCGCGCTCCACCACGCGCCCGTCCGCTTGCGTCGACTGCCAGACGACATAACCATTTATACAAAGAATGTAATCCATATTTAATATTATAAATATGAAAATGTGTTTGTTTGTCCTATTTTCATGTCGATTTTCGAAAATGAGTGACCGATTAATTTTTTTATGTAAAGATAGTTTGAGGGCTGGAGAGTGATATAGGCTACTTTTTACTGCGAGAGATTATCTAATTCTCACGGGAAAACACGTTATAATACAACCCACAACAACTCATCATACCTATATAAGTTTAAATATGTACTATAATATAATATAGTCTACCTATTCCATACTAACCGTTAAAACATACCGTAAGTCGCTAATTCTGTATATTTAATGATGATGACTTATATTTGAAATAGACATAATTTGTATTCAGCCTGTTTGTATTTAACCCTTATTTTTCACAACCCACTGCTGAGCACGGACCTTTCGATAATGCGAAGGGGATCAGGTCATAATGCACCACGCTGGCCAAGTAAGTTGTTCAGTAAGTATACAGATAAACTTTGACCTAAACTATGAACGATCTAGGAATGCACCTGATCAAAGCGAGGGTAAAACGCTAGTAATAAATAATAATAATTAAATGCCTCGGTGGTCTGTGCAGCATGTACGGCTGCAGATCCGGAGTTCCTAGGTTCAAGCCCCAGTTTATTAGTTTTTTCTATCAAAAAAATCTAAGTTACAGCCGGTAAGAGATTCACGAGGCACAAAAACACAAACGCTGAAATCTATTCTAGCATCAACAAATATATTCACCTGATCGACCAGTAAGCCTCCAATGGCTGTAAGTCCAAAGGCAAGCCTCGCCGTATCCCACAGTCCCTCGGGCTTGAACACGTCTATGTCTTTGAGCATTGTCACTGGGATTAAACCTGAAGTAACAGAATAAAAACAATGTATAGTTGCGACACTTGAAGACACTTGCGAGAACACTTGCCACTTCTTTAAAAAAATATGAGAAAAAATATTTGTGGAATATCCACAGTTTATACGTAGTTCATCAGAACGAAAGAGCTTTAATATTGTCAGTTGAGATATAAGAACATTTTGTTAGCAAAAGTATTTTAGCATATACTATCTTTTCCTATTAATCCAAATCTTGAATTTGTAAAGTATCTCCTTTACACTACTGAGCAAAACTAAAACTACATAGTTTTCTTCTACAGACATGAGACATTTATTCAGAATCTAATTCGGAAACTATTAATTTCTCAGGTTTTTGTATTACACATTAAGATTAGACATAACAGTTAAAACTGTACGTTTGTAGGCCAAGAGACGATACGATAATGATAACGGCAACAAATAATATTTCGAGTTGATTAATCGTTTTTCCATACAAAATGTATTGAAAAACTTTTTGGCGATTACTGTCATTTCAAGTACTCATACCTTAAATAGTCCAATAGAGTCTTTAGATCCCTACATGAAATAGGATCTACTAACATAAAAAAAATTTTTTTGGTATTTTAGCATTTTTGTACATTTTTTCCAAAATCTGTGAATGCAGTTCAGAATATCTCAAAAAGTTATGGATGGTCTCCTAGGAACGTTTTTCTGTAACTATAACAGTTAATGTCATGCAAAATTACCTGTTCCACAAGACACGACGACTTTAAGGCGAGTCTTTTTAGCCTTTTCGTGTTGCCCTGTAGCCTCTAGAGCCAGGCCGAGCTCCGCCAATTCGGTGAGAGCGTCCAGCGTGGGATTGTTGCCTATGAGACCTCCGTCTAGATATCTGGAAATTATAAAATTGCCTTTGAAGATATGCGATATGAATAGAGGAGTTAAAAAAAACAGCTTATTAAGGTTTTTGACATGACTTAATATTTTTCTATTATACTTAATAATATGTAACAATATAAATAATTCAAAAATGTTTAAAAATTCAAATAATGTTTTAAAACAAACCTGATATATAAGGGGCTATTCATTAATTATATAAGGACGATTTTGGCTATTTTTACTATGTGTATAAGCGGAAGAAGTAAAACTTCTGTAGGTTATCGGTACTCTGTATAAAATTCAATTTATGTTTTAAATAATTAAGATAGGTGATATACTGTAAATAACGCATATTAGGCATATTACAATCATATATCTACAGAATATCATTTAAGGTAAGAATGTAATATTATATATCATTTGTCAGACAATAACAACGGTTACCATGGCAACGAACGTTCGCCTCGCCCGATTTACACTTTTCGTAACGCATTCACCAGCTTACCCCCCAAGTCAAGCGTGCGTAAAGAAGTTTTACTTTAAAAACAAAACTACAAGAGCATATCTTTTACGACACGTTTGGCTTAGTTTGGAGTGACCTTACTAAGTTACTTGCTATGCCAGCGGTCGCGGGTTCGAGTCCCGCTGGGGGCATTAATTTATGTGATGAGCGCGAATGTTTGTACTCCAGTCATGGGTGTTTATATTTATAACATGTATGTATTTAAAGTTATATATGCGTAGTGTATCTACTATCTGGTATCCATAACACAAGCCTCGTAGCTTACCATCGAACTAGATGGCGCTGTGTTTTCATATCCCAACATATTTATTATTTATGACTACTATACCTGCCCGAAGCCCTAAAGTAGGAGGGCGCAGCGCCGGTGGCGCGCGCCGCCTGCCACACCAGCTGCTCGGCCGGCGGCGGCGGCGCCGGCAGCGGCACTACCCTGTCGCGCAGCCCCGCCTCCGCCTGCGGGCCTGCGGGGGTGCAGTGTGAGGTGCAGAGCCATCTCGTGGCACTTTACACTTAATTTTATTTTAACAAACAAACAGTTCAATATAATACAATTATAAACAAAATCTATACAGATGAATAAAATTGAAGTGTCTGTTTGTGATGTTAAAATAACAACGTAACAGCGGTTTACTAAATGCACACGAAATTAAATACGGATCTTATAACACATTTTTAACATTTTTTTTTAATTTTTGTCTGTCTGTCTGTTTGTTCCGAATAATCTCTGAAACGGCTGGACTGATTTTTAGGAAGATTTATAGGAAGTAACATAGGCTACTTTTACTTTAGATAAAGAATTAGGGTTTGGCTCAAAAAAATGAAATCGTACCTAGGGACGTCGCTAGTAAAAAATAACACATGGACCAATCAAATTTCTACAATTAAATAATTCATAGAATAATGCGAGTATATAAAATAACTAGCGACTCACCCTTGCTCCGCTCGGGTTCTTCCCTAGTGAAAATTTAAGTTTGTATTTTCAATGCCGTTTTAGATGATGAGATGATTTCGTACATAAACAGACACTGACATCTGTACAACAGGTTGTTATGTGAAAAGTCATAGAAAAGCCAGTACTACCCACTAAAAACCTCCCATCTCTTAATGGAGTGTTGCAAGCTTACTGACCGTCCTCCCTAAATACCAAAGAGCTGGTCTCACGGTCCACTCTGCTATCAGAGAAGTACCAGGAACAACCCACCAAGTGATGAGCCCTTAATGAGCTCTCCCAAAAATTACACTTAATAATAGTATAAAAATAAAATAAACGTATACTCACTATATGTACCATTATATTCATTCAATATATCCTGCGCGGACTGGTAGTTTCTGAATATGTGCAAGTCCACTGGTTTCCTGTCCGCGAGAACGGCCAGTATCATGAGCTTGGGATAATCTATATCTGCCATCACTGTTTCGGTACCTGTGAACAAACATCACATAATATATATATTTTTTTGACTAAAAAGGCACATTGAATTTAAAATCACTTGAGAAGTAGAAATTATTTTCAAAATTACTATAACCATTAAGCTAATCATTGCGAAATACAAAAAATATTAACTTTTATTTTACTTCAATTTTTATATTACTGTTTGGTCTTTTATTACTTTATTAATAGAAGATTCTTATGTATAAAATATAGTTAGATATATATAAATATAGATAGACATAAAAATAGCTCAATAACAAAAAATACCATACAATTTAAAACCAATGCAAGAAAACTTCAAACTTACCCAAACATTCTTTAAGTATAGCTTCCAATGTTTCAGAGGAATACGGCCTCATACCGACAAAGGCATGCTCTTTCATTCTGAAGTATAATCTCTGGCATTCTCTTAGACTTTTGCCACTTGCCAATGCCAGTGCTAATATGCCACCAGTACTGGTACCAGCGACCCAGTCGAAGCAGTGTATGATTGGCTTGCCAACTGCCGCCTCGAGGTTTAGAAGTGTTTGTATAAGGACGAGCCCTCTAATACCTCCGCCGTCAAGGCAGAGTAGACTGAAATGTGTTTGAATAACATATTAGGCATGTTGCCTTTGTTAAAAAATAATAGAATATATTCGAGGTAGAAATATTAAAATTATTTGTGTAAAGATTTCCATATACTTTGGAAGATATAAATCCCGCCAACTCAAAATCCATTAGCTAGACCTGGTAAAGGAACTTCGCTGGGACCTTTATTACATGGACCTCGAGATTGGTGCTTGACAAAGTTCTATGAAATCATCGATAGCGTCTTAGGCATTGTTTGTTTTATAAGTCTGTTAATCCACAAGTTATAGCAAGACTTTTTCATGAAATGCTTATAACTAGATAACTAGATCAGCCCAAATACTGATTGGATGTTAACAATCTTAGTGAAAAAAGAAATCACTTGGATCAAAAATAAATTAGTTATATACATTAAACTAGCGACATATACCTCTAGGTGGCTATAAACTTATGCATTACTCCAGGTCATAATCTGTGTACTATAAATTATCCAAATCTGTCCAGCCGTTAAACGCACACGCACGTACACACATATACATACAAACAAACCAGCATTATCATAACCGCCTCACTAAATTTTCTGAACAAACTTACCGTCCTTGCTTCTCACTAGGGTCTATAGTGGCGGCTTTAGCCATGGTGGCCGCGTTGAGCATGTCGTTGATCTCCTGCCTCGTGGTAGCCCTTGCGACCGCCTGTGGTGGGATACCGTTATATTCACCTTTGGAGGAACAACCGGGGCCACAGCCTGGCATGTCGGATGAACATCTGTGAAAGAAATCCATACTAATAGTTGGAGGGCTGGAGAGTGACATAGGGTACTTTTTACCGCGGGACATAATCTCATTCCCACAGGAAAACACATAATAATACAACCCAAAAATTATGTATAATTAGAATTACTTGAAACTTGGTATTAATGCTCTTCAATACAATTAAATAAATACGTGTTTTAGCATTTTTCGAAATTTATCCCATAAGAGGCTAAAAAATGGGGATGAAAATTTATATGAACACTACTTTTTTGAAGCTGGCTTTACCAGCCGCTATTTTAATTTCGTTTCAAAGTGTTGGCGCACGATGAAACTGGTATGTATGGATAGAAGACACTTATACAAACAATTAATATTAGTGATATGGTGTTCCAAGGTGTCACGTTCTCGAGATATTTTGAGGTCTTTACCTCAAAATATCTCGAGAACGTGATACATCTTTATCGCTTAGACGATCGATCGATTGGGAGCTAAGGAAACCATTGCTTGAATACAACTGACACTATTTAACACGTAATAAGTTATAAGAACATTTTTAACTATTATTATCATTGTTTTTATATGGCGATCTTTACCTTCAAATATAATGGAAACGAGACACATTAGCACTTAAAGAAATATAAAAATATCAGCATAAAGCAATGCTGATATTTTTATATTTCTTTAAGTGTCTTAAATGGCTATATACCTACTCGTTTCATAGCTCGCTGTAATTTTAGAAAAATAAAAATGGCAGAATGTTAGCAATGGTTTAGTGTCAATCCCCATTAATAATATTGTATTTTAAAATAAAATGATAATAAAAAATAAGTAAAAGAGGCTAGTTTTATCGCCAATACAACCAGGCAACCTTGCGGTGTACGATATGGCAAATGGTAAGAGGTAAGTAAGGCGTGTTAATGATTAATTATCATAGTAAGAAAACGAATAATATGAGAGAAAAATACAACATAACTTACTACAGGTAGCGTAATGACATAATAATTACATTGTAAATCCAGTTTTTGTATACTTTAGTTTTTGTAAACTTCCGTCGAGATTAAGTTAGTATAGCGTTGTAACTATGAACTTGTAGAAATATGCATAAAAAAATTCAGAAAAAATGTAGCGTTTTTAATCTACATATACCATTTATTACACTCTTGAGATTGAGTTTGCGTTACGAGTATTAAATCAAAAATATTCAATTCAAAATTGTTAACTGACGTATATTATCGACTTTGGAATTTAAAGACTATTTTATATAAATATTATAAACTAGCGGCTCACCCTCGGTTCGCTCGTGTGCTCGCCTCAAGACAAAAACAAATCTATCCCACGGTAACTCTTTAATTTTCCGGGATGAAAAGTATCTAACATTTTTACCGGAGATATAAGGTACGACCATGCGTAATTTCATTTAAATCGGTTCAACAGTTACGGAGATTAGCCCGTACAAACAGACAAACAAAAAAAAATAGAAAAAATCTGGATTTTTTCTAATTCTGTTCTTACATCCCCCTGCTTCGGGTTTTTGCAAATTTTTTTCTAAGTACAGACATTCGACCTCTACAGTTTTATTATATGTATAGATAAAGTAACGTCGTAAGTAGAAACTTACCTCTGAGCGCCAACCGCGTGCAACACATACAAAATCCTATCAAAATCGTTATTCTTCATATCTTTGGGCAATACATGCCTCGGCGTGCCACCAGAATTATCCTTTGCTTCTAAATCCGCTCCAAAAACTATTAACGCTTGAACTATCGATATATTCGTTTGTTTCACTGCCAAATGCAATGGGGTATTCCCCTCATTATCTTTTATAGAATGTTCTGCGCCTATAGATAGTAAAGCCACTACACATTCTAGTCGTCCCCTTAAAACCATTATATGTAAGGCTGTTCGTCCATCAAAGTTTAGAGCGTTTATATCGCAGTTTTTATCCGCTAAAGCCTCTATCACCTCGCGCGATATGGACCAATGTAGTGGTGTGCCGCCTCGTTTCATATCTTGTTGGAATAACTTAGGTTGGTTGTCTTGTAAGACGTCACCGACGATACCTTTAAAGATTACAATTTGTAAAATATATTTTTATTATCTAACACCTTTAAACGAGCAATTCTCGTATATTTATTTATCTATACTAATATTATAAAGAGGTAAAGTTTGTGAGTTACTGACGTAGGGGGAATCTCTGTATCTACTGAACCGCTTTAGATGAAATTTGGTAAGAAGATAGTTTGAGACCCTGGGAAGCACATAGGATACTTTTTATCCTGGAAATCATCTCTTAAGGAGGTGAAAATGGGGATGAAAGTTTGTATGGGGACGAAAACCGACGTTTATTAATTAGGTATATATACCGGCGATCTCGGAAACGGCTCTAACGATTTTGCTGAAATTTGGTATATTAGGTACGTGGGGGTTTTCGGAGCCGAAAATTCGATCTAGATTAGTCTATGTTTTCGAGTTTTCACAAATCACAGGTGTCCGTTCGAGAATTCCGGTCGGATAAAAAGTTTTTACTTTTGTTTTTTTTTTGGATTTATTCATGTTTTATTTTGTTTTTAAGCCAAAATTAAAAAGAAAATTATACTTTTGGCCAAAAACTCCAAGCGAAGTTCGGTCGCCCAGGTACTATGTCTTAATAGCGAAAACACAAGATATTGTTTTCAATAATAGTAAAATCGAACGTTAATAATAATGTTTATAAATTAACATATTTAGTGGACGATCACCATATTGCAATTGTCATAGGTCACAGGATAAGAGTCATGCTTGTTGCGACTAATTTGTGGATAGTTTCTTTTATTTACGTCATACAACATCACGACGTAGAGAACCCTTATTATAATGCAAATTGTCTACCAATGCCGTTTACAGAACTAAATCTCAAGCAAGAGAGGGATATTCCGTAATTACTATTTTTCTAAAATTTGAGAATTGGAAAATTTATTTAAAATAAATTTTATTGCTTAAAAACATGCATTGGCACAAGCCTCTCTTCAATACGAGGAAGATCAGGCCGCAGTCCACCACGCTGGCAAAGTGCGGGTTGGCAGTGCTTAAAAATATATCAAGACTTATCTTATAAAAATTAACAAAAAATAATTTCACGGAATTAATCAATAATAACATTAAAATGCAAAATTCTTTATCTAATTTTGTAAGAAATTTTGATAACATACTTAAATAATATAAAATTTCAATATATTTTTTTTAAATGTATCTAACAGAAATAAAACAAAATTAATTATAAATAAATACTTGTCAAATCCGGCAGAATATCGGCCAAAAAACATTTGGACTCCATAGTCACTACACTTATGATGTATCGATCACTCACTGAGTTATCGACTGAAGCCTAAGAAATGGCATCACGTCCTATTACTTTACTAGTACGTACCTACGATGCATGTTCAAGAGTACGTTAAATCAAATTTAATTACGGCATTATTATTTACGTGCTATTGTTTCATTTGATTTGGCGTTCAGTAATAGGTTGGATGCACTTTTGGTAGGGCGCCAAATTTTGAGTCATAATAGAATTTAGAACATTGGGATTTCCGTTTATGTTATCGGGATTCTCCTATGAGGTAAACGTTATAAGAAATCTTCAGGGTACATCTGTAGACGTACACGTGTAGACCGTAGAGCATAGACAAAAGGATGAATAATATGAGTTTATTACTTTAGGCATCGACCGAATTCGGCATAAAGTGAAAATGGTTTTTTTTTTGTTTTAAACCAGACCCGATAAAACTTATCTGTACTCCCAAAATATTTGTCTGTATTATGCCAGCGCACTTATATATCGACACATGAATAAAATAACATTGACATAGTTTTAATTTAACATAGAAATTTTTTGATTTGATAATAAATATACAATATTGGATATAATCCAATATTGTATATTTATTATCAAATAATTAATTGTATTTGTGTGTATAACTCTGTCTTGTAAGCAATCATTAGTAATATACCTAATATAAAAAGGCATTTTAAGTCAGTTCGACACTTGCTATGTAAGTACATAGCAAAAAAAGATAATGAAAAACGCGAAGGCTGTTATCTGAAGGGTGAAGGGGCCTTAGCGAAATGAGGGTGAGTATTACTATGAAAAATGTCATAATGCAGTGTCTTGTCTGACCGCAAACCACTACTGTACTATGTACGAGAGACATAATCAATATCAGGCGAACACGCGTCTCTATACTGTGGAAAATGAGAGTAGAAACAGCTGCCAATAAATTTTTATACTTAAAGCAAAATTAGATCAAGATTAAAAAAAGAAAAATGTCTAACAATTATAATAGGTATGTTAAATGTATCCCCCCCAACGTGCGTTCACCTTGTCGTGGTGGGGGGGCTCAGTAGTGCCCAGCAATCCAGCCGGGCGCGAAGCCAAGAAACGCACAGGGAGGTGGCCCACTTCGGTGGGCGGTGGGAGGCGGCCCTCTTCGGAGGGCGGTGTACCATGCGGGTTGCTCCTGGTATTTCTCTGATAGCAGAGTGGACCTTGGAGCAACCCCGTGGTTGTTGTGGTCTGCTTCGGCAGACCTGCCGTCGGGGCGTCGTAGTTGAATGCGTAAGCGATCCTGCGACGCCTCATTAAGACGGGGGAAGGTTTTGTAGGGTTTTAGTGGGTAGTACTGGCTTTGCCGGTGAGTCCCACACCTCGTGCGTAAATGCATTTCCCAACGTTAAAAAAAAGGGTATGTTAAATGTGTCTCAAAACCGGAATCATATTGATGCATGATAAATAAAATTGAAGTGTTCATTCGTATTGTCAAAATGCTTTTTACTAAAATCATATGAAATTATATACGGTACTTATAAGAAAAACGCAATCTTTAAAATGTTTGTCTATCCGTCTGTTTATTCCGGCTAATCTCCGAAACGGCTGGACTGATTTTGACGGGACTTTCACTAGCAGATAGCTGATGTTATAAGGAGTAACTTAGGCTACTTTTATTTTAGAAAAAGAATTAGGGTTCCGCTCAAAAAAATTCAAACGTATCTAGGGACGCACCCGAGCGAAGCGAGGCTAAGTCGCTAGTATAAGTACATCAGACGTACATACAGATAAAGACTAGGTAGTCTTTAATTTATTTGCATACAGTTATTGGTAGAAACATTTTTTATTATTTACAACATAATTTTTTGAATTATTTATCTAAGATAAATGAAGCTCAAATAAAACATCGAAAACTTTGCTATCTGGATGTGTAAGCTGTTGTCCACTTTGTTGGTCATTTTTTTTGTTTGTTATTTCATTTAAGATAACATTATTGTGAAGCTATAGTATAATTTACGCTATATTCAAAATCTATATATATATAAAAAAAGTGGGGATCGTTACAACACTTATAACTCGAAAATTGATGGACCGATTTTCATGGTTTTTGATTTGTTGACTTTGTTTCCGCCCTGAATAGCAGAATAACTATTTAAACATTAGAAAAATTTACAAAAAAGTTAAATTTATATAACAACGCTGGCTAATAACTATTTATATCTATATAACGTACCTACTACCTAGGGAGGAACCAGAGCAAAGCGTGGGTGAGCCGCTAGTTTTTAATAAAACTATCTTTTTGGATTTTTTTGCGGATTAATATTGCCCTTTTTCTCTTGATACCTAATGCCTAATTTCATGACCTAGTCTAGGCAGAGAGTATCTTCTGTATAATCGCATTCCTATTGTATATATCCATACTAATATTATAAATGTGAAAGTTTGTGAAGATGGATGGATGGATGGATGGATGGATGGATGTTTGTTACTTTTTCTCGCCAGAACGGCTGTACAGATCTGGATGAAATTTGGCACAGAGATAGATTATAGTCTGGAATACCACAAAGGTTACTTTTTATCGCGGAAAAGTGTACGATTCCCGTGGGATAAATGTCTTTTCGTCTAAAGACGAACCCGAAGCGAAGTGAGGGTGAGTCGCTTGTAATTTATAAGTACAAAATATGTACATATATTTGTTATTACTTCATTTTGAAATAGCTAGATGGATTTGGATGAACACAGATACTGACCTGGAGTAACATAAGCTATTGTTAGTCGCCTAGCGATCAGAACGAAGTGAGGGTATACCAGCTAGTCTATACATATAGCTAGCTAGTCTATATATAAAATTCTGAGTCGAATCTGTACATTGAATATTTTTTGGAAAATCTTATTGAAATAGACATTATTATCGATACAGAGTCCGAATATATACTTTTTAGAATTTTTGTCTGTCTGTCTGTTACCGCATCACGAGAAAACCACTGGACAAATTTTGATGAAATTTGGTATGATGATAGCTGGTCATCCGGGTCAACATATAGGATACTTTTTACCGCGGGAAAATATCTCATTTCTGAGAAAAAATACAAAAACTGCATTGTAAGAGTATACTAATATGTAAAATCTAAGAATTTGGTTTTTGGTCATCTAAACGCGGGCGGAGCCGCGGGCAATGCTAGTATATTATAAAATTATTTGTTTTTATATGAAAAGCAATATTTTTGGGGTTCACATGAAAAAAAAAACGTGTGCATCTCGGGACGCCCGACAGAAATACTAACTTAAACGAATCTAACTATTTATTATTGAAATTGTTTAACTTGAGAAAAGCTTATGTTATTACTTACATTTTATGTATATTCATAAATCTTTTATTGATTATAAAATATATTTTATTCTATATACATATATACGGCTAGCACTGTGGGTTAGAGTGAGAGAGGAGGAACCTACCTACCGCTGCCGTATGCGTGAGAGAAAGGGAAGCCAGACAGACTGGCGCCGTAACGCGTTACGTAACGAAGCGGTTTACCCTCTCATAAGAAGTTATCACTTCAAAAACCAAAAATGGAACATACTAATGAATATACTTAGTATTATTTGTAAGATCGGTTGTCCAATTCTTTTTTTCATAAAGATAAAAAATAAATAAATGAATACATAAACGAAAAACAAATTGATCTATACATATACATACCAGGAATTGTATTACTTGTCGATGCAATAGATTTCATTGAGGCTGGAAGATTAACATCTGCCCCGGCCAATAGCAAGGCTCTCACACAATCTGGTGCATTTGCGAGGCAGGCCATATGTAGAGGAGTGTAGCCTTGTTTGTTGTATTTGTTAAGGGATGGTGATACTCTACTTGCTAATATCTGGTAAAAGATCATATTAAATAACTATAATTGACTTTGTACATGTATAATGGTCATTATGAATCATTTATTAAGATCCTTAATTGATATGTAATTAAATAGTATGATATATTTTTTTATAAATTTAATTAATTGCAATATTTTTATATGTAGGTATATAATATTTACCTAGGTTTAGTCATTTTCATCTAATGTTTGACTATTTTGGCTTATCGAAAGGAAAAAACAATCAATATATTGTTTAAAAATATTTTTTCTTTTAAACGGTCATTTCTAACTTCCCACTACTAGGCACGGGTCTCCTTTCAATGCGAGAGGGATCAGGCCATAGTCTGGGTGGCCAAGTGCGGGTTGGCACAATTCGCGTCTTTCGAAAACTTGCTAGGTTCTCTCAGACATGCAGGTTTGTTTCCTCATGATGCTTTCCTTCACCGTAAGACAAGTGGTAATGATTTGCACATTAAAATATGAGAAGTGCGAGACCCGGGATTTGAACCCGATTCATTTGGTTTCCCAAGCGAGCATGTTATCACTGAGCTACCATTGACTTTTTCTTAAAATCATGTAATCACATGATTTTCAAATTATCATATTCCTATAGTAATCAAAAATTACTTACATTAATGATTTCTTTATTACTGGCTGCAGCATAATGTAGTATATTGTTGCCCTCCAAGTCAATTGTATCAAGAGTACAATTTAGCATGACAAGACTCTGAACCAAGCGCAAGTTACATGCTTTTATTGCTATCTAAAAATCATATTAATTTAGCTATAAAATTTTTAACTTTTATCAACACTTGTATTTGTATATTAGATAAAAAATGTTATTAAGATTATATAGAAAAAAAAATCATCTGTAATTTTGGTTTTACTTAACAAAACATACCAATAAGTCAATTTTCATTATAATGTAATCATGTATATTTATGTACTGATAATTTATTATCAGTACATAAATATACTTTTTGTACTTTTTGTTTCTCTTAAGAGAAAGCTTGCTATAATATTTATTTATATGAAAAATTATTTTTGATGTGACTAAATAAAAAACATGTATTTTACAACTCAAAACGTTATATATTTCCTGAATAAACTTAGTTTCTACTACATTGAGTATACACATCAAGACAAGAAAAAGACAAGTGAGTGTGAGAGAAGAAAAAAAAAAGAAACAGGGTTACCAGCTAATTAATGTAATTACATTGCCATCTTTTAACACCCTCCCTCAATGTAATTACTCATTACATTTAATAAGAATCTGCTAGTGTTCAGGTGTTCTTTTACTTATTTAAGTAATCTATTTAGATTGACTATATGCTATAACAAACTAATATTAAACAAAAAAAAAACAAACTAAACTAATTGTTTTCCACACCACATTTCTTAGTAAATTTTAAAAATAATTCATTATTCAGAGGTTTTGTAAAACCATCAGCTGGTTGCTCATTTGAATTTATGTAACTAACACTTATTTTATTATCTTTAATTAGATCTTTAATAAAATGAAAGCGAATATCTATATGTTTTAAACGTTTAATAGACTCGGTTGCTGCAGTTAAGATTGCTGACTGATTATCGCAAGAAATATTTACTGGGCAAATATTCTGAAAACCAAAGTCATTTAACAAATTTATTATCCAACAAGCTTCACTGGCAGCCATGCTCATAGCAACATACTCTGACTCAGTTGATGACAGGCTCACTGAGGCTTGTTTTCTGGAAGTCCATAATATCAGGCAATTTGAAAATTTAAACATATACCCAGATGTGGATTTTCTGTCCCTTAAATCTCCACCCCAGTCAGCATCACAAAACCCTTCTAAATTGCCATCTGTACATTTATAAACTAATTTGTAATTTATTGTATGTTTTACATAGCGTAACACTCTTTTTAAAGCAGTAAGTAAAACATTATTTGCACAATTTTGATACCTGCTCAACATTGAGACTGCAAAACACAAATCTGGCCTTGTACCCTGTACAGCATACATCAAACTTCCAATTATTTGCCTACACAATTTTACAATGTTTCTATCTGCATGTTGATTTAATAAGCTTTCAGAGTTAAAATTACTATCCATTGGTGTGGTCTTAGGTTTACAATTTTCCATTTGAAATTTTTTAAGAACATTTTCTAAATAACTTTGTTGACTAAGTTCAGTAACACCAGACTTTAAGTTTTGGTTCACATTAATACCTAAAAAATTTGATATTAACCCTAAGTCTTTCATTTTAAATTCCCTAAACAAAACTGTTTTAAGTTGATTAATTTCAGATTTATTTGTTCCAAATATTAATAGATCATCGACATATAATAACAAAAATATTTTACCTTTACCATTACATTTTTTATACAAGCAAGGGTCACAGCTAGATCTATCGAAACCCTCTTTACTCATTACATCATTAAACTTATTATTCCAACATTTAGGAGACATTTTTAACCCATACAGTGATTTATTGAGTTTAACTATATTATTATTATTAGAATAAGCCCCATCTGGCAACTGAATATATACATCTTCTTTAATTTCTCCATACAGAAAAGCCCCGGTGACATCCATTTGATGAATTTGTAAGTTTAATTTTGTAGCAATAACCACAAAAATTCTAAATGTTGCCAGCTTTGCTACTGGGGCATAAATATCTTGATAAGTGAATAAATCATTTTGCTCGAAACCCCTTGCTACTAACCTAGCCTTATATTGATTTGAACTTTTAATTTTAAATACCCATTTGCTACTTACAATTTTACTTGAATCAACAGGTACATCACACACATGCCATACATTATTTTCACTCAGTGTTTGTAACTCTCTATCTATGGCCTCTCTCCACTTGGAAGCATCACTTCTATTCATAGCGTCCTTGTATGTCACAGGCTCAGAATCACCATGCACAAAATTACATTTATAAAATGATGTTTGTTTCCTTTTTCTTAAAGGTCTCTCAAGTTTGTAAGCTTGTGTATTGTCATCGCTAGATAAACTTGAATCATTCGTCCATGGTTTCATATTCACTTTCCGATTGTGTTTTATATGACAAATCTTCATTGCTTTCTTTATTAGCCTCTTGTAGTGTTTTATATGACAAATCCTCAATGTCCTCTGAATTATTTTCTTCATTTACAGTTTCAGCCTCCTGTGATAGTTGGTCTTCTAATGGCATTATTTTAATTGATTCCTGAACTGTATTTATTTCATTTTCTAAGAAAACTATATCTCTCTTCATTTCTATGGTATTTTTCTGTGGAAAATATATCCTGTAACCTTTTATATCTTCACTGTATCCCACCATCAATCCCTTTTCTCCTTTCTTGTCCCACTTTCTTCTTCTTTCTTTTGGGATGTGCGCATACACTGAATCACCAAACACCTTCAATATACTAATATCAAATGTCTTGTTTGTCCAAACTTCAAAAGGTGATTTTCCATCCTCCTTACTCTTTCCAGTCCTATTAAGCACAAAAACTGCTGTATGTACAGCCTCTGCCCACAACTTTTTGGGTAAATTTTTCGCATACATCATTGTCCTGGCAGCTTCAACCAATGTCCTGTTCTCCCTTTCTGCCTTTCCATTTTGCTCCGGTGTGTATGGTACAGTCAGTTGATGTGTTATACCACGACTTGAGAACACTTCTTTTACCTCCTTATTTGTGAATTCCAAACCATTGTCGCTTCTAAATATCTTAACCTTATTACCCGTCATATTTTCAGCCTTATTTAGAAAATCTTCAATACAGCTCTTTATTTCGTGTTTATTTTTGACAAAATAAACAAATCTGAAGTTTGAGAAGTCATCTTTCATTAAAACAAAATACTTCGATCCGCCTAGCGAGGCTTCTTCCATCGGGCCACACGTATCAGCGTGTATCAATTCACATGTCTTTGTGCTAATGTAATCACTTCTTGAAAACGGTAATCGGTGAATTTTTCCTTGTAAACAATTTTCACATTTGGGAATTGATTTTTGTTTAATGTCGATGTTGTTTTTCTGCAACACTTTCTTGACGTATTCAAAATTTTGATGTGCTAATTTTTCGTGCCACATATTTAAATCATTCAGCTCTGATTTAACAACGTTTGCCGTATTACATTTAAAGCGTAAATTCATGTAATAACCATTTCCAATTCGATTTGCAATCGCATACACGTCGCCGTGTTTGTAAAATTTGCAAAAGTTTTCATCTGTCATCATGACATATCCTTTATCGGTAGCTCGATTTACAGAAAACAAATTAATTTTTAAGTCAGGAACAAATAAAACGTTATCTATGGTTGTATCGATCCATTCATTTCCGTTTTGCACCTGCACTGCCATCTGTCCGCATCCTAACACATTAATTGCCACGCCGTTACCTACTGTCACCATCTTTTGCGAATGATTTGCAAAATGCGTAAATAATGAACGATCACAGCACATATGTTCATCTGCACCAGAGTCTACAAGCCACTTAGATTCTTGATATTGTCCATACACTGTATTAGACACCACAAACGCATTAATCTTTTTATTATTATTACGTTTATTATTGTTCTTATTTTTCTTGAACCAACACTGTGTTTGAAAATGACCAACTTTACCACAGTAAAAACATTTGTTATTTTCATTCTCTTCGCAGTTTTTTTTAACACTTTTACACTCGCTCTGGAAATGTCCTATTTTCCCGCACTTGAAACAGCTTCCAGACTTTTTATTCTTCACTACAAAGGCAGACGATGATGAACTTTGCTGGGGTTCTTCATTTTTGCCCTTTAACCTTTCTTCCTCCATTAGCAACCTCGCCACTATGTTATCCAAGGTTTGCTTATTATCAGGAGCTGATTCCCATGCTGAGATAAAATGTTTGTATTCGTCAGGCAGCGACATAAGTATTTTCGTAATTATAAATTTTTCAGAAATTTCTTCACCCATCTGTTTAAGCTGACTCTGTATTTCTTGAATTTTTGACAAAAATACAGACATATCGGTACCTTTTTCGTACTTAATGATAATGACTTTAATGATAATGACTTTATTTCATTTAACAACAAGTACATGATAGTATACAAGGTTGAAACCCTCTTTTAAGTAACAATACCTGTGACAGAGGATTTCGCTCTTCCATAAATAGTATGTTTTAGCTTAATTAGTTGACATGAAATAATTTAACGATACAGTTAACTAATTGAGAAAAAGTATGTTACAAACATATAAAGAAAAATATATATTCTGATATTTTAGTAATTATAAAAGTGTGATTTATTTGTGGCGTGTGTATGAGTGAGAGTGTGTGAAATTTTGTATGTATCTCTGTGCGTGTCGTTTAGTGTGTGGTGTATGTGTGTATCTTTGTGTGTGTGTGTGTGTGTGTGTGTGTGTGTGTGTGTGTGTGTGTGTGTGTGTACGTATGTGAGTGTATGTATGTGTTGCGTAGTTGAGTTAGTGTTAGTGTGTTTACACTTTGCATATTAAGGTCTAAATCGTCAAATGGGATTTTTTAGAAGTTCTTCTGTTTTATCATAATCAAGGGTCAAGAGGAATTTAGTGACTTTCTTTTTACATTCGTGATATTGTAACGGGTAGATATTTAAGGTTTTATTAATTTTATTATAAATAAGTGCCGACAGGCTTTCAAATTGTCTCGACGCAAAAATAGTTTTTGTGGGATTACTAATTGCAACTACATATTTCCTTCTAGAGCTAAGAGTGTTAGGGTCAAAATTTATTTGCTTGTGTAGTCTCAGTACCATATGAAGTATGAATAAT